CAATACTTCCCTCCGCTGGCTGGTCATGGGATCTCAAGGCAGAGGGAAGGAAACGGGTATAGGAGACACAGGAGGTGGGAAAAAAATGGGATCACAAATCCTTCCAATAAAATTTGAAGAATCCAATGATCTTTGATGAAAGGATGCCAGTGATGAAGAAAATTGGCAAGCTGAGCTCTCACCAGGTAGTCCCCAATACTGTTGGCAACATGATGTGCATCATCGAAGAAACCGATGAGATGATGCACCTCGAGAAGATGAGAAATGGTAACAGATGCCATATTAGGCTCCGACTGAGACAAACGGGCAACAAGGTTGGAAAAGGTAGACTATTGTTGTACTGATGCAACTCATGATTCCAAAGACTCAGAGATCATATCGAAGAAGTATCATTGCATAAATGGGGCCATACATAAATCCCAAAGATAAGATGATAATAAATGGACCCGAGTTAAGGTCGCTTTCTGACCTAGAAGGTCCCAACAACAGAGAAACAACGTATGTAAAGCCAGGGCCGAAGACGACAAATGAGCCAATGTGGAAGTAAGAAGGGAGAGGATGTCCCCAGAAAACCCTCAGAATTTTGGTGGAGAGTCTCAGAGAGGAGATGGATGGAAGAAAGATACCGTAAAATAGTTGTGAGGGTATGAAGAAGGTGGGAAAATTAGGCATTGGTCAGACTTACAGTAGATTTGGAGGTTGCACCCTAAACAGGCAAAATGGAACCTAACAATTGCTGGTCCTGAAGAGGACAGTCCAAATGATGATATGCAAGAGCAGACTGATCTGAAGCCTATGGGAGGGGGCATGTGCCCAAATCTGGGGAGGGGGGAAATTAAATAGAGATGGAAAATTGGTCATGTAGTAAGGAAGGATGCGGTTCATAGGAAATATGGTAAAGGGATAAAACATCACATACCTGAGAAACAAAATCCTAAAAGACCATTTTAGGCCTAACTGACTCCTCAGGCGGGACATGGGAAGGCATGGCAAATCAGGAAGTGGAAATAGGTGATCCAAGTCCTTGTCTGCCTGAACAGGCTCAGCTTGTTCGGGAGGAAATGGGGCAAGGTCTGGAGACAGAGGTTGACCAATGTAACATTATCAGAGAAGGAAAGTACAATATCAGAATTACTTCGTAATTCATCCTGCTGATTCTCCTGACCTACATAACACTCTTTGTGAAAAACAGTTTAACCCTTTCCAGATGGATTCAGGGTCAATGGCCAAGTCATCTCGTTTGTTGACTCGCATTCAAAATTTTATTACACTACTATTTTATGAATTTATGTCATTAAGTTTGGTATCAAACTGAAGATAAAAATTCAAATTTTCATATTATGCATTATTTAATTTCTTAATTTAAAAATAAATATTAAAAAACACACCTAAATATCAATTTTTGTGTGTCATGTGGTATATTGAATGCAGCACTAGTTCAAATTAGATGTTTGTGATGTAAAATACAAAGTCTATAATTTTGTACGAATTAGGAACTCAAATTACCAATATTGACAAGCTAGAATATAAAATAAGAACCTCCTATCTTTTCTATTTGCTGAGATATCGCACATGTACTGAATCAAACTGCTCACCTCTTTCCATTTTTGGAAACAGCCCTTATATACACTAACTTCTATATATGACATGTGAATAACCAATCGAAAGCTCAGAATTTTCCCTTTGTGGCTTTATTGGCCATTTTGAAATAAAATGGCATCATCTCTTTCTTTCAAGAGAAACCTTTGTGCTGATAAGTTGAGTCTTTAGCCTATTCGAAATTTCATATTTTTTTAGATCCAAATACAGCTTAGTTACTAAACTTGATAAATTATAATGGAATTCTATGGTATCGATATAGTAATTTATGATTTTTTGGTTATTGAAATGTATATATATAAAACCTCAAAAAAATTACTTCGTTTTACATCCTCCATTTGCAAAAATTCTTAAGGCTTATCAAGCTACAACAAGCAGCAACCAAATACAAAGATTTGCTTTAGTTCTTTATTTATTGTTTTATGTTTTAAGAAAATAAGTTTAAGAACTTGTTTGTAAATAGTAATACTCTATATACATATATAATGTATAATAATTGAAATGTGACTGTATTTTACAAAATACTAGTCCATTAAAACACAGCCAAGAAAAGTCACTTTGTAAAGACTAAAGGTCAGTTTTATATTGTTGGATACAGTAACATGAGTACACGTACACCATGTCATTGTAACTTCTGTATTGTTAACCAGGCATGGCTGAAAGGTCAATATAATAAAAATAATAAATATACATATAAATGAATAATGTTATGAGATTTAAGCTATCTAGTCTAAACATTTATGTTTCTGTGTTATAATTTGTAGTCATTCTAGAACAAAAAAGCCATAATTTATATTTATTTCCTAATATTTTTATGGTGGTTACAGAAATTCATTATTGAAAATAAGAGATAAAATACAGTTTTTTCTTAAGAAATGTTTGATAACTATCTGGACAATATAAAGATCTTGCACGTGAAATTTGAAAATTACTTTGCATGTTAGATAGGCAACATGTGAAAAGAAAAAAGGCACAAGAAAAACATTGCTCAACAAACCTTAAGACTTAATAAAAAACCCTGATATTTTGCATATGAAAGCATTGTAATATTTACTGATAATATGCCAAATGTTTAGCAGGTTGGTCTATTGACTTACAAGTAACAGCAGTCATTTGACACAGAGAAAATGAATAAAGCATATCCATAAGCTGTGTCCAAAGGGCTGAGATGAACCTTGACAAGTAGTTTGTGGCTGAGACCAATGAGCTGGAAAAGAACAACGTTGCCATCTTAAGTCATGCTGATTCATCTGATGAGGATAAAAGAGGTGAAAGTACTTATCTGGTTGTGCATGATGAGCCAGATGAAGAAATGCTAAAGTTAGAGAGCAGAACCACCAAAGTCAATCTCCCAATAGATATGGGTGGGACTAGATGATCATCACAAGTTAGAACAACTGAAGTCAGTAGATGTCATGCTTGGTACATTACCAGTTTGCACAACTGAAGATGGTAGCTAGAAAAACTCAGTTGAAAAAGGCATTGCAACACTTGCTTTCTGAGCTCCCAGGTGTTGATGTTAAATACTATGTATGCACTACACTGTATGATTATCAAACAGTTAGCAGAAATTAAGACAGCTAGAGTGAATAGATATGATACTTAATACATCAACAGTTTGCCCAAAAGAATTTAAAAAACTCAACAAAAAGGGCGTTGTGAACCTTGCTCTCTGAGATATCATACAGTATTTTACAATATGACGTAAGCTCTATATTTCATGATTGCCACTTGTTTATTACTTCATAAGATAGGATGTTCATGAGGTTGAAAGATCAGTGACTAAAAACTGTTGTAACCCTTGCTTTCTGAGCCAATAAGTGAATTTGCTGATGCAAAACATCATCCTATTAAGTAAAAAACAAGATTTAAAACAGGCTACATGTGTTTTCAAGTGATTTTTTTGATGGGAAAACATCACAAGGGAAAAAGCCAGTTATTCAATTCCTTCATTCAATAGCAGACAAACATCCAGTGTTCTAATACAAGTATGCACACATTGTGTCCAGTCTCTTTATTTCTTAGCTTTAAAGTCAGTTAGTAGTTAAAAATCAGATTTACTTTATAATTAATCCTGTAGATCCTCTCACTTTAAAGCAGACCTACCTAACACACACTGTAGAAATCAGTTTAACCTGAGGACATCACAGAGTAGGGCTCTTTTCTCATTGTACACACTTCCTGACTCTTAAAACCATCAACACCACTTCTTGATAGAATTAATAACTTGTGGATCTTTTTAGTACAATCTATGACACTGTCTTTACATTAGAATAGATGATTTAGTTTCTGCCAGACAAACATAGCCTTCTCTTGAACTGTTCCCATGTTAATTCTTTGTGTATATAAAATAGTTAATAAATCAAATTTTAATATTATTTTGGTTTTAATTTCTTATTATCAAAAGGAAATATTTTGATGAATCCTAAATTTTTATTTCTATGTTTCATGCAATACTTGTTCACTCCAAATTGCACACTTAAACATCGTTTTCACTAATATTTCAGTTTTAATTTTTAATAAAAATGACCAAGTTATAGTGTAGATATTTTTGAGACAAGGTCTAATTTTATAGTCTCCAATCATCTTGATTTATAGAAATATATACCATAAAGTTAAATCTACATTCCATGCCATGCCCTCCTATCACACACCATCTTTTAAATGTCAAAAATTCTCTCTGACATTTGCTAATTATTTATTTATAATCAATAGAAGGAGAAATATGTATGTATATTAATTGTTCATTCTGATGACAACGTTTGAATTATTCTGCATCCTGATAAAAAATGCTACTGCTGAGTTCACTTCAAACATAGTAAAAAAATTATTCTAACACAGTTACAGCTTAGTTAGGAAGCCATATAAATTATAATAGTTATTGGATATTACACTCTTTGAGCCTGTTATTATCTGGGGTTCTAAACTGAATGTTTGAAATAAATAAAAATTCAGTAAAGTATTAACAATAACCATACCAAAAATTATGTTTAATTTTTATCAAGACTTTGAGGGCAACAAAAATGCATATCTGCAGCCATCAAAATGAGAGTAGTTCCAAAGGCAGGACCAGGAACATCATTCTTATAAAGTGCAATTAACCCTCTGTAAATATTATGCATAAACATTTATTAAAGCTCACTAACTGAACAGGGTGAATAGCCATTACATTTTGCCATTAATAGTTAGCTGTAATTGCTTTTATTTCCAATCTGAATGTAAATGCTACTAATTTCAAGTCATTTATCTATAGCAGGGCCTTAACAAATATTTCTAAGAGCTCTCTCTTTTCTTTATTTATACTTTCAGCTGTTTTTCAAATGCACAAATAACAGTACTGAACAAAACCTTCTAAAATCTCTAACTGAAACATAAAATTTACTTAAAGTGAGATTTCTTACCTTTACACGAGTGATTATTGAGAAGTTTATGAAACATTTGATATATTTCAGGTACTGATATGTGAAGAAGAACATTTGATAAGCCATCCACAGTGACAATTGTATTTTCATTTTCTTGAGTAATCAAATTCTCCAATATAGGTTTAATATTGTAATTTGTTATAACTCTTCCATCTGTGCTGCAGGTTCCATTCCAGCCTAGAGGGTCACTATATCCATCATAAATTATCAATCTATAAATTAAAAGAAATATAATGATATTTAGGAAAGTATGTAACCAATGCAATTCAACTTATAGACTAACTTTGACAATCATACTTCCCTTACAGTGTTTTAGAAAGTTGAGAAGATAAAAAAAAATATCTTTCACTTGTGCATCCCATGCTGTCTGTATTTGTTTCATTGTATAGTAAATAATGTAAATCACTAACAGAATTCACTAACTAGTTATACAATATATTAAGTTAAAACGTTAAAAGGGGTAACAAACACACAGCATTCACTGACTTTTTAACTATAGGTTAATATTTTTGCTAGGTAGGTGTAACTAACTTGTTCTGTGTGACATATTATATGATGCATCTTCAAACTAATTAACTCACACACTCTTTTTGCTTTAGAAACTTTTTGGTCAACTTATGGGTTTCTCGTATATCTTGTAGAACATGAAATTTCATTAGTTCTTTTTTGATAAAGCTTCCATAATTTATGGTTGGCAATCTTTAATCTACTAATGTAACTTGCACTATAAAATGGCACACAGAGATTATCAATGTATAATTTATGCCAGCATTTATAACTTCTAGCTACTGTACAAAACACAGAGCTTAAGATGAACAGAAACATACAGTTGTGTGAAAGTTGGTCATGGTTTCTAGTGCTGTTAAACTACTTCAAATGAACTAATATCAAAAAGTTCAACCTCAAACACACATGTATAGTTATGTTTAATTTAACCTCTCCTAATTAGTACTGTTATTTTTTAATCACATACATGTATTCATGCAATTGTTATGATTTGTTTGTTTCTCTTAGAGCAAAGCCACAATGAGCTATCTGCTGTGTCCACCACAAGGAATCAAATGCCAAATTTTAGCATTGTAAGTTTGTAAACTGACTACTGTCCCACCAGAGGACACAAATGTTAGTAAGTAATGTAAAGTGCAATTACTAGAAACTATATTTGTTACCACCTCATTTACATGAAAACATAATTTGAATTTACATAATTTTCTCTAAGAGTCAAATAAATCTCACAATCTATAAAACCTAACATCACAGAAAGCACACAGAAAAAAAAGTTGACATAGAAAGTATTGAGTAGTATATAATAATTACTACATACTGATAACATTTAAAGTGTTTCTGAATTTATAGTGAGAAAAAAGAAAGATAACAAAAATACTGAATTTAACAGTAGCATTTAATATAAGGTACAGTGCTTAGATTTTATATATCTGCTGTCTAATAAGCACTAACACAATAATTTTAAAAATTACAAAACTATGATTAATAATATAATTTATCCTGTAATATAATTTTATGTTTTCAAATAGCTAAGAGTTGACACTACACCTACACAACCCTGAAATCTTGGAGCTTTGGAATCATACATGGAAATTGTCTAAGGCAGAATAAGTATCAGGTCATCAAGAAATTAATGTTGCTTTTTTTTAGATGAAAAAACCCAAACAACTTGTATATCAAAACAAAACATTTATTAAATGAAATAGTCTCTATTCTTATTGATGATGCTTTTCCATCTTACAATCAGGTTGTTAATGCCCTGATTAAAGAAATCACTTGGCTCTGAAGCAAAAAAAACATGTCGATGTTGTGTTTAACACCTTCCACATTTGCATACATTTTCCCATTATGATGGTGTTGCAGCGAACGAAAAAGATGGTGCCATATCTGGAGAATATAGTT